TTTTAGAATCGGAAGAAAAATTGAATTTGCAGTACAAATATTATTTTCCTTTTAATAGATCATCATATCCATTTTTTGAGCGATGACATTCTACACGTTGCATTCAGGATACTTACCATCAACCAACTTGGTTCAGACAGTCAACGTTATCAGTTTAAAGTAAGCCACAGTGGTCAAAACAGGATTGCAGCCAGTTTACATCAGGCTGACAAATATGGATCTTCATCCGTCCTCTCTGTTTACAGGACTATTTACAGATAACAACAATATTATTTAAAGTACAGATGCATAGCTAATTACATGAGAACTGTTGGTGGGCATTTGAAGAGAGTCATTTTGTATTCTGTGCAAACTGAAAAGAAGAGACCATTAAGGCGGCCACTTGTTGAAACCCTACAGGAAAACTGCCATAAACTGGAGGCAGCATTTTTGTGGAATAACAAATGACAAGTGCCCTTTTGGGGGTATTTGTGTCTTGCCTAACTGCCTGAATATATTGGAAAGCGTTCGTGAAAGACTTTGCAAAAAACGAGAAAAACTTCCAGCAAAATGCATCTCCCATCAGACGATTGGTGAATGGAGAGCTACTGGCTTCTCATAAAGACTTTTCTGTTCCTATGTTCAGGTGCATAAAAGCCCATCTTTTCCCACCCCACATCAATCTATCACAACAATTGAACAAACAGCAGCCATTTCTACTGGGAGAGAAACATTACTAGTAGCCTCTACTGAATTGAAAGCTTCAAGCACACACACACATATACAGGAAGAGAGGGAAACAAAGTGAAACTGGGGAAAAGGAGAAGAGATCCACACAAAAGATGCTCTACAACTAGTTTTTTTCCTTTTGGTGCGCTGATTGCAACTCTTTCTACTTGCATTGGTTTTGATGGCTTCTTTACCTGCTTCTCCCAGAGGCGACATCTTTCCCTGTTACAGTACGACCGACACAGAGGAGCACAGAAACAGGAGAGGAATTGACAAAAGAAGAGATATTCCATGTTACAACAGGGAGATGTTGGCATACCAGAACTTAATTAAATGCTGGCTGGCACTGTTTCTCAAAATGTTACTAAAAGCACCGTGGATGGCAGATGGAGGGGGAGCGAGCGCACATATACACACAACCTCCTTTTCTCTCTCACACCGACACAGGGAAATACATTGTTCCTTTAGTGTTAGCAGAGGAAAATCCTTGCATGTATATCATGATGATCCCTGCCACGAGGGAGCGGCTCTGAATAAGACAAGGGTAATAGGAGGAGGAGAGGACGCCAGATTACAGAGCAGCGGAAAGCAGAGGCCTTTTAAGCCTGCAAAGTCAACTCCAACCTTCTCCTGACTCTTTGGAGGGCTTCCAGAGAGATGCCATTTCTTCATGTGACAGATGTTGTGTTATGTTAATGGCTAATTGCACTGAATTACATCATGATGCAGTTCTGTTAACTGCTAAAGTAAAAAAAAGCCATCATTCATTCACCAAATGGGTTTCACATCGGATGCTCTGAGCCCAGTAAAAACCATAAGAAGGCACCAGACAATGTTAGGTAAATACTGTCTGGGTAGCAACTGCCCAACATCTAAACATGCCACTCATGTTCACTGACCCATATTCAAGGCCACAATAAAAAGATCATAATCAGCAGCCTTTTGTGTAAATAGCTTCAGCAGGAGAGTATCTGGAGTACAGACTGGAGCTGGAGCTCTCGTGGTAGCTTTGCATCAACTCGCTTTTTTGTTAAATAAGTTAGCGATGACACGATGCCTCTAACATGTCACTGCCTTTGTCTAATTCTCCCCGTCTGAGCTGCTCCGCACTTCATATTTTGATGAGTTGAAACATAGCAAAGGTGATTAAATCTCTGCTTGCTGCACATCAACATGTTGTTTGCTTCTCTGCTGAGGGGGGAAAGCGTCTGCGGCACCAGCAACAGGAACAGCCGCAGCCTTCTATCACTCCTTTTCATCTCCTTTACCTCCCGCCTCCCTCCCCTCTACCAGCCTCCGAGCTACAGAGTAATGGAACTCTGTACACAGAAACAAGATACGGCATATAAATGGGATGCAGAGTGAGAGAAGCTATTTCTTCTAACTGAAAATTATGACCCAGGTATCGCAAAACTACAGTAGTGGCAAATATAGCCCCTCGTTCGCTGGTAAGACTAATCGCCACAAATAAAGAGCAAGAAAGAAAACATTGTGCAGCTGAGTAAAAGGTGAGAGCAGCTGTGATGAGGTGAGAAATGCAAACATTGTGTCACAGTGTCCTGTGTGATGTTACACAGACACTCAATGATTTACAATAATCAGCTCAAAGGTGCAACAAGATTAAAGGTGCAACAAGCTCTGTTTCTCCTGTTGCTCTATGAAGATCTTCTAAAAGTAAACAAACAAACAAAAAATCTGAATGCTTCAAAACTAATTTTACTCTGATTTTCTGTA